ACATCAAACAGATGTACCGTCAAATTCTCATTCATCCCTCTCACACACCCTACCAGAAAATTCTCTGGCGATTTTCTGAAGAGGAACCTCTACAGGAATATGTTTTAAATACTGTCACATATGGTGTCAACAGCTCCCCTTTTCTGGCTATTAGAGTTCTTCATCAGTTAGCCCTCGATCATCAAGATACTCATCCTCTCGCCTCTTCTCTACTTCTCTACAACACTTATATTGATGATATAACTGGAGGGGCTAATAATATTGCTGATGTTCAAATTCTTCACACTCAGATAATTTCCTTACTAGCTAAAAGTCATTTTGAATTCCGTAAATGGGCCTGTAATGTTCCCGAACTTCTCTCTCATTTACCTCATGGTCATCTTCTCATAAACCCCCTCTCTTTTGATAAAGATTCTGCCTCCGTTATCAAAATCCTTGGCCTCTAGTGGAACCCTATCTCTGATTCATTCTCTTATCATGTCACTCCTACCACACATACTTGTACGCAATATTCTCTCTCAATTGGCTCGCATCTTCGACCCTCTTGGTTTTTTAACTCCTCTCACTTTTCTTCTCCAGACCCTCTTGCAACAATTATGGATCACTGGACTAGGATGGGATGAAACTCCTCCTTAGCATATTACTTCTGTCTGGAACAAAGTTCTTAGTGAACTCTTTCATATTTCTCAATATTCCTAGGAACATTGTATCAAAAAAGTCTCTCTCATGTACTGTGCATGCGTTTTGTGACGCCTCTGAACGAGGATATGCCAGTGTTGTATATCTGTGTTGTGTTCAGGCCGATGGTTCTATATCTGTCCATTTTGTCGCAGGGAAGTCGCGAGTAGCCCCTGTAAAGAAGCTTTCTATCCCCCGTCTCGAACTTTGTGCAGCTTTGTTATTGAAGAAGCTCTTGAGTTATATTCTCAGGATTATTGAATCCCAAATTCAAGTCGAGAGCTTTACTGCATGGACGGATTCTACCATTGTGCTTTCGTGGTTATATTCATCTCCTCATAAATGGTGCACTTTTGTTGCCAATAGAGTGGTTCAGATTCAGGAATTATCTACTTCTCACTGGCGACATGTCAGATCTCAGTATAACCCAGCAGATGTTGGTTCGCGTGGCTCGCTTCCGCACGATTAGCTTAGTAATAGGCTATGGTGGGCGGGACCGTACTGGTTGACTCTTCCTGAAAATTCTTGGCCTTCTGATATAGGTGCTAATCCCTCCGAGATTCCGGAAACTCAAGAAGATTCCCGGAAAACTGTTCTCATTACTACTTCAACGCCTCATTTTATTACTGTTCTTCTTACTAATTTGAGCTCCTTCGTCAAAATTCAAAGAATTCTCGCGTACATTCTTCGCTTTATTAACAACTCTCGAAATGTCTCTAAACAACACTCTGATTTTCTTCTCCCCTCTGGATTAGATTCAGCCCTTACTCATTTAATAAAGTTTGTGCAATATCAATCTTTCTCTAATGAAAATACTCTCTTGAAACAAAATAAATTTCTCCCAAAATATTTAAGAAAATTAACTCCATTCATTGATTTTCTGGGAATCCTCAGGGTGGGCGGAAGATTGCAAAATTCCTCCTTGGCTAAGGATCAGAAACACCCTATACTCCTTCCCAGTTCTCATCGCTTCACTTATCTCTTCATTGAACATACTCACGCACAATATTTGCACCCAGGTTTACAAACTCTCCATCATCTTCTAGTGCAGAGATATTGGATTCTCGCTCCGAAGCGCACTATTCGCTCGATCCTCTCAAAATGTTCCAAATGTTTTAAGCTCAACCCTTCATCTCGTCAACCCATCATGGGCATCCTCCCTCCTCAGCGCATTTCTCAAGCTAAACCCTTTGTCCATACCGGCGTTGATATGGCTGGTCCCCTCCGCTCAAACGAATGCGCGGAGCAAAAACTTACAAGGCATACATTTGCATTTTTGTATGTATGGTCATAAAAGCAGTTCATATCGAACTGGTCTCTGATTTATCTTCGGAAGCTTTTCTTGCAACTCTCCCCCAATCATAGCTCGTCGAGGACGTTGCAATCATCTTTACAGTGATTCTGGTTCAAATATTATTGGCGCATCCACATATTTTAAGTCTATTGCTCAAACTGTTTCTCAAGAAAATGATTTACAGTTTCATTTCAACTGTCCTAAAGCTCCCAATTTTGGAGGTCTTTGGGAGTCTTAAATCAAAGTTCTGAAAACCCACTTGTTTCGCTTTATAGGTTCTCAACTTCTCACTTACGAAGAAATGAATACTGTTTTAGTACAGATTGAGGCTGTATTAAATTCTCGCCCTTCATGCCTCATCAGCTCGGACGCCAATGATTTACAGGCTTTAACTCCTGGACATTTTCTCACCTTCGAACCACTCAATTCTCCCCCGACTCTGATCTGAGAGACGTGAAACTCTCGCACCTATCTAGGTGGCAACTACTCCAGCAAATGCATCAGTCATTCTGGAAAAGATGGCATAATGAATATCTGCATGCACTTATGCAGCGAAAGAAATGGACAGAACCCTCTTCGTCCAGGCGCTGTAGAACAATTTTTTGAAAGCACTGTTCTATAACGCTGCGCACGACTAAGTTCCTCGATTCTGATTCTGTCAAAACATTATAACAACAGCGATACAGCAACTTGGTACTAGTCTAATATATAAAAATGGATGTTTGTTGGTTGGTTAGTTGGTTGTTGGTTGGTAAGTGATAAAATTCTACATCGCTCAACCGATCGTGATGAAACTTGACATGTATAAGTAATTTTTTATAGAGAAGGTTTTTAGGCTATCACTTTTTCTGTAACTCGCCACTAGATGGTGCTGTGGAACAATTTTTTGAAAGCACTGTTCTGTAACGCTGCGCACGCCTAAGTTCCTTGATTCTGATTCTGTCAAAACATTGAAACAACAGCGATACAGCAACTTGGTACTAGTCTAATATATAAAAATGGATGTTTGTTGGTTGGTTGTTGGTTGGTAAGTGATAAAATTCTACATCGTGATGAAACTTGACATGTATAAGTAATTTTTTATAGAGAAGGTTTTTAGGCTATCAATTTTTCTGTAACTCGCCACTGGCGCTGTAGAACACTTTTTTGAAAGCAATGTTGTATAACGCTGCGCACGCTTAAGTTCGTTGATTCTGATTCTGTCAAAACATTGGAACAGCAGCGATACAGCAACATAGTACTAGTATGTTATAGTATAAAATGGTTGTAATTCAGACGTTACTTTTAGTTAACGCTTGAGAAAGCTATTGTATAGCGAAATACGTGTCGCCGTTTTTATAAAACCCTTTATAGTAAAAATCATAAAATAAACTGTATTGATGAGTTTTGATATGGATTTTTATCAAGTATCGACCAGTTCTATTCAATTGAGGCCATCATCATACTGAATAATCAGGAATCTTCTTGTAGCTACAAATATTTGTATGTAATCCCATTTAACTTTCTAAGCTAAAAAACTGATTCAATGATGTGATTATGATTGATTCACATCAACGCATTGAAAGGAAATAGTCATCGTGGTAATTCAAAATCCCATTTTGATTGAATTCCGACTATTCCGTCTTCAGGTACCTAGTTGGGATTTTCAGTATCACAATGATTCAAAAATCGACAAAATTTCTTCCTCCTGATTGGACCCCCTTCTTTATTGATAAACACCGGCGTGTAGTGGAAAGGAAAGACTCTGCGATACACTTTTTACTGTGAGAAATTGACTGGCCTCGCTATTGCTTTCAAGTATATGATCTATTTCAAAACAAAATTCAAGCCTTATCGGCAGAATCATACAAACGCTGCTGGAGAGAATATGTCATAGAAAATACGTCCATATCGGATAGTGGTCAGTATGGAAAACAAATTCAATATTTCCTTTATACTGCAGAGGTATTTCCTCGACAAAACCTTCAACATAATGAAATGCCTGCGTGTTCTATATTTCCAAAAGTAGCCATTTTCAAGTTGAAACCGGTGTTGCTTTTCATTTTAGTCAGTAAACAGCAAAACGTCTGAATTCCAACGGAATTTCAACTAGGTTCAGATTAAGTTAGGTTCAAAGTTAGTGAGTTTATTTGACCCCCCCCCCCACTGCAACTCGTGACGGTTCATCAATTACATCTAAGAAACAGGTAGAATAAGGGAAGCCTGATGAATCGTTCTGTTTTATGTCCACGAATTTATATGAAGATTTCGGGCAAAAGCGGAACCACCATATTATTCTCAAGAGTATCAAGAGACAGGCGCAACGGAGCTTCTTTTTTAATGGTTTTTCATATGAACTTGTTCGGAAGTTGATCTGTTTGAATTTTTGAAATCATTCACTGGTTTTCACTACAATCCACCTCCCTCAAGAAATAGATCAAATTTTCGAGCTCCCTATATATATGTCACCATGAAAGTAGATGAAGTTGAAAACTTGAAGGAGGAGTAGGATTCAATCCACAGTCATGAAATCACTCATGTAAAGTTAATCTATGAGAAATTGCATTTTTCAACAACAAAATTCCTAGTTACAACCACCGCCTGATGATGATTATGATCAATTTTGTCATTCAGAATTTTTCAGCATCCTTCAATTCATTTATTCATTTATTGCTACGTTATGATAGAACTATGAATACGAGGTTCCGCACCATTCATGATTCGAATAAATTGATATATAATTTGCATTTTTTTCTATACCTCAGTTATCCTCTCATGATATCCTTTCATGCCATATCGTATTCTGAACTTATTTTTGCAATTTAGATGGAAATCCCTAATTGCCATATAACGTGTTATCTCAACAATACACATATTGTCTCTGGTGTTCAACTATTTACATTGCAATATAATATTGAAGTTAAGCGTCTTTTACTGAATGCTTTGTTGATTCGTTTCTCAAAACCAAATAAAAAAAGTAGGGGATAACTTTCTTCGTTTATTTAAATTTTCTGGAAACTAGTTGTTTCCTGAGAACCGTTCAAAATGGCACCCAAAGTTAATGGCATAATCAAAGTGTATGAACCTTTACCTCTGAGTGATATTAATGCCGATAGGCAAAGAAATCAATATACTTCGGAATTGTTGCAAAGTGCTTCTCAAAAATTAGATAGCGGTATGTATAATTCAACTCATGTTTTTCTAGTTTGACAAAACTGTGTTAGTATTTTTCTAACACATATAAAATTGCGAAGTTACAGAATCTGTTGTAGATATGTTATCAAAGTACAAATCAAAAAAAAATCTGCAGTTAAGAGCCTCACTTAACATTATTAAAGTAATCCTCATAAATTTCATGAATTGAATCCAACAAACCTTCTTTTGATACAATTGTGAAATTATTCAAGTACCTAAGTAAAGAGTGTTTTGCATGATTGCCTTTCCATCTAATTTATATAGACTTCCATCGATAAAGAAATGAAAAAATAAATCTCTTTCCTGAATATTTTCATATCATCATAGAATACTTTTCTAGTCACCATCTAATTTGACGATTATATGACGGTTTCGGTTTCAGAATTTTTGCGTTACAAGTCATGAGAATTTCCTTCAACTCCTGATCTTTCAGTAAATCTCGAAATTTGAGGAAGGTTCTGTCCAATAATTTCAATAGATATACTGAACAGAATTCACGTGAATTCATAGGAAAATGAGGATATAAAGTTGCGAGATGGAGAGATTTTAGTATCATTCGATGTTTCGTCTCTATTCACAAGTGTTCGTATTAAAGAATCTATTGAATATTTGCGAAATCTTCTCTCAGAGGAGAAGAAAGCAAATACTACATACAAGCAACAAATTTGCATTAAACAGAATTATTTTCATTTCAACAACAGTTCTTACAGACAGCTCAAAGTCATTGCAAAGGAAAACCCATTGTCTCCATTTTTATTTAATCTGTTCATGAGCAGATTTGAAGTGAAATCAAACTGGGAATCAGATTACATTTCACTCATTTGAATCCGATATGTAAATGGTGTATTTGCAATTTCCGACAGGTTGTTAAGACCCTTACCAACAAATCTTCGATGTCTTGCGTGACTTGGTAATCAGTAGTAACCACGGGTTAGAATTTGATGTCTATAGAAAGAATACCAGTGATTTGAGATATGGTCCTGATATCTTACACTACTGGCTACTAAAAAAATGGTGGGACTCAACTTTCTGGTCTATAGGCTTGTTAATTTCCCTCTGTTCAAAGAAAAAAGCAGTATTAATAACGAGTATCCTTCAAAAATAGTAGACAAGTTAATGAGCAACGGCAAATTCAGGGATAATCTTTCAAATCGTCACTTTTTCAGGAGGACATCGATTCAATTTTCATTGTTCTTCCGTATAAACCAGGATACATTAATGATCAGATGGCATTTTCAAAAAGTCGAAAGTGAAAGTATTCTACGAAACTACTCTCTCACTTCAACAAATTTTAGATAACCCTGAAGTGGCTATGTTGAAAAAAAGGTTCCTAGGCCAAAAAATGTTAGAATCACTCAACGTGTCCTGGACACGACAATAGAATAAATTAACACTATCTAGAATTATTGAGATAGGTATATGAATCTAGACTTTTGGATTTTTTCGATAGTTTGGAAATGTCATATTGTTGGTCTGACCCCTCTGGTCATGGACGTTAAGAAGGTTGAGTTAATGGCCATGTTACGATTGCGCACGGCTGATGTAAACCTCGAAGTAGACATGGATCAATTGAGGTTAGGCCTATGGCGAGAAGCACTTACTGCGCAAAGTCTGCGCTGCAGGCAGGTAGTGATGCAATTGAACCCAGGTTTGTGTTTAATAAATCCTACAAAATACAAATGAAACTGAACATAGTCAGATGCTACAAATTCAATATGCATATATACAGACGGCTCAAAACCCAAAGAAGGCTCAGGATATGGAGTTTACTCCAGATTACAAAGCCTAAGGATTAAGTGGGGAATGGGAAAAAATACCAGCGTGGTTCAAACATAACTGGCTGGTATCTCAATTGCCACCAAAGAAATAACCAGGAAAGGCATTTCTGGCAAAAACATAACAAACTGCACTCATAGTAGACAAGTCTTATTAGCCTTGAACGGACAATATGTTACCTCAGGACTAGTACTAGAGTGCCACCAAGATTTAGCCAAAGCCTCGGTAGATAATAACATTATCCTGAGGTGGGTTAAGGACACCACAGGAGTAATATTAATCGCATTGCCGACTCTTTAGCCAAGAAAGCGGCTGGACTTGGAATTTTAGGACCCTGTGACACTTACGGCCCAATGACTTCGACAATTGTGAAACTAGCCAAACGTCACAACCATGCTCAATCCCTGTAGAGATGCAGTCTTGCGAGGATCACCCTGGGCGACACTGGGAAGCTGGCAACGAATAAATATCTGGCGATGAGCATGAAAAACCTATACTTAACAGTGAAATTTCTGACTAAGGAAACACCTCCATAATATTGGGCTAGTAGATGCAGGATGTGTGAACAGGAAGATGAAACTATCAGTCTTGTCAAATGCGAGTGTCCGGAGTTAACGTGTGTTCGGCGAGTCTTGGCCTACACCTGCCGATATAAGGGAGATGTCTCCTAGTGACCTGTTCATCTTTCTGGAAAGGACAGGATGGACGATGACCTAGGAGGATAACTCCTCGGGAGGATGTACAATGGGTCATATGTGGCCTAAGTGCTATGGGCCTACACTCACTCTCCGTACTCTACAGATACAGAATGTCAAAGTCAGGCATGAGAACCATGAATAGTAACCAAGGTCCTATTCATAATAGCCCATTGCCTACCCTCAAAAGAATCACTCCGTTAAAAATGTCTTTCCAATTTTTACCCAAAATTATTGAAGTGAAGGTGAAAGTTCCTTTTGTAATATATACTCGTAAAAAGGTCAGATTTAGAGTTGGAAGTTGACGAAACGTGTGTCGAGTAAGATATTGCAATACAAATCAAGTGAGGTAAGGTATTGCAAACCAAGACATGATCAAGTAAAATGAATTTCACACTTTAGAACATGAGAGATGTTTTGGATGCCCCAACGGGCAGGAACGTCTTCCATTTCCGTGATAAATATATGAGCTGTGTTATCCTTATTGCCCTCCATTCAGTCTTAATCTGCATTCTAGTATACAAATACGTCTGGAATCATAAACTTGTGTAAATATTTATATCAGATTCAGAAAACCTTGTTTTATGATTAATAAAGCACTTCAATTGATAATAATATTGCCTCAATCAACACGTGCAGAATATATTTTAACCAAAATGATACACAATAAAACTGGAACAGATCACTATCTGTACATGGAAGTTATTCTAGAAACATTGTAACTGGTGGTTTTTGTTAAAACACTTATTTTTAGAATTTTTAATGTTTGTCTGTGCGTTTGTGCCCGCTGGTCTCCATTTATACGTAGCAGAGTACAATTTTCTGTGGATATCTACCAGACATCAATGATGTGTTATAGAAATTCACAGGAAATTTCATCGTTCAACAGATTTATTCATATGAAGGTAAACAATGGACTGAATGAGATCTTTGTCACTGTTCATAATTTCAATGCCACACGTTGCTTTTTCCAGATTTTCGAAACCATCCAAAAATCTAGTCTCATATACCGATCTCAAAAATTTCGGAATTTTTCATTCAATCCATAACCGTTCTCCAAGGCATGTACAGCGACACTAAATTTTTCTGATCTCCAAAAACGGATATGCGCAATATGTTCTTTAAAACAAGTTTCTAGAGCCCACTTAGTCTATTTATTAATGTATTGCCGACAATTCTATTTTGAAGAGTTCATCAAAGAGGGCGTTCCACACAGTATATGGTTTTTCCCCTTCCCGGAAGCCATTTGACTTCTTCCATGTCTCCGGAAAACATTGCAGTCTCAAGAACTTAGGTACTTATTGCGTTTTTTTCCAATGTTTTTTATGGCACCCATTCCAACTATCTCCAAGAGGTAGATTAATCAATTAGAAAGTAGGCATACAAGTAGGTAATATGTTAGAGAATAATTTTTAGTTTACGCTTGACAAAGCTACTGTATCGCGAAACACGTGTCGCGGTTTTTGTAAAAACTTTTATATATAGTGAAAATCATACAATAAACTGTATTAATTAATTTTAATATGGATTTTCATCAAATATCGGCCAGTTCTATTGAATTTTATAATTTCACAAATGAAAGATATACATGGTGGGACTCAAC